ATGAGCAAGTATACCTTCTGCAGCCTCTGATGATGATAGACCTAGCTGCCACCGAGAGTGGCCTTAACTAGTTCAGCAAGGAGCGCCAAAACAGCGTAGGCTCCGGGTGTCCCCAGCGGGATGAATGGCGGGGACCGGCTAGGCTCTGGCGCTCCTCTTGGAAACGCCGCGCCCCAGCTCGGTTCGAGACGTTTTGCGGCTCGGTTTAACGTCGGTGCCGCGCGCTTAGGCTGCAGCTGGCGGCTGCCATGCTTAGAGGGCCCCGGTGCGGCCTGGCCTGCGTTACCTGGAAGAGGAGCCGGTCCAGCCCTGCTGTCCGTGTCTAGCACTGGCGGCCTATGGAGGGCTGCGAGCTCGGAGCCGTGTCGCTGCCACCTGACGAGGCAGGAGGAAGCTGTTGTACTGCCGGCGGGTGTGCTGCAGAAAAATAGGGTGTTTGTGAAAGCTATGTTTTCCTGCCTTTCAGATCGCCTTTTTTTCGCAATTCTCTGCCAAAAACCAAAGAGTGGAGCTGCAGATACCCATTATTTCTGCGTAGACAATGAACTTGTGTATGCAAATTTATTTTTGGTTTCTTCCTTTTTTTTTTGTTTCTTCCTTTTTTGTTTCCTTTTTATGTTTCTTTTTTCTTTCCTTTTTCTCTTTTTTCTCTTTTTTTTTACAATTATTACAATAAATCAGTCAGAATGACAAAAATGAGAAACCAGTCTAATTCATGTCCTGTGTTTAAATGTAGCTGAGGGAAACATACTATTCCCATTACAGAGCTAATAATATGTGTCTGTCAGACTCAGACTTACTCGCCATAATTGTTTATAAGGCTTAGAATGGTTTCTTTGCTTCCCATCAGGATTTCTTAAAAATCTTTTCAGAGCTTTCATTGTACCCCAGCTTGTTAGAATACACTGGAACATGTTGCAGCAACGTATACTCCTAAATCTACGTTCAGCCATTGAGCAGAAAGGGATGTCTTTAGTCACCAAAGTATTAAATGGAGAGTCTAAACTTCCTGGAATTAGTGAAAAAGCTGACAAAACTGACTCAAGCTTTTATGAGCTGGGTAGTGAGCAGCATATGTCTTTGTATGCAATCTGGAATGCTATTAATTCTTGAAGTGTTTTTAACCAAAAACATACTGTTTTTAAAAGGGCTGATGAATATTTATTCTCTGTGTTTGCTTTTCTTTAGCAGTAGTGCATACTGTATCTTTAATTAATTGAGGTAATTTAACATAAAATGTACAAGAACAATAGGTATATCTAGACAAACATATTCCCAAAATATTTGAATTACTTTTCATTGCCTTCTTTTGAAGCCAGGCATTTGGGTTGCTTTTAAAACAGGGTTTCTAGACTGGTGTCACGGAGTGATTGAATTTTTCAAATCTTGAGTATTCTACCATGTGTGATGGTGTGTGGAAAGCATGAAACAGCTATTGTTCCAGTTAAAATAGTACGTATGTAAGAAGACTTTTACGTGCTCAGAATGATTCATATGTATATTACTACTTCTTACTTTGTGCATCTAGCTTAAACTATCTGAATTAAAATAAATAAATAAATGTTTTTACCCTTTCTCTTACTAGCTTCTATAGAGATTTTGGACCACTAAATCTGGCAATGGTCTACAAATACTGCTGCAAACTAAACAAGAAATTAAAGGTAATGCTTGTTTTAGTATTCAATTTTCACGTCTTTGTAAAGAATAAAAGCAAATGGGCCAGAAGTTTCTTTTGTTAAGGTGCTTTCATGTATTCCTAATAAGGCTAACTTTTGAAAATGTATGCAAAGTTCCTTGCATTTAGGAAGGAGAAAAGCCACTTGCCTTTAAAATTTGCTCTCGTGGCAGTGACTAATTAAGCTCCTAGAAGATGAGTTGCTGAATGAGTACAGACTCAGTTAGATTTGTAATGGTGGATTTTTTTTTTTAACTTATATTCCTCTATTGGTACTTACACCTCTTCTGTAAGAAACAGTATTTGATTTTTGATATTTGATTTGTGGCCTAGAGAAGAGTTGTCATGCACACGCTGTTGTCATGGGGTGCTTAGTAATTCAGGTAATTCAATTCTTTATAGAAAACAGTGTCTTTAAAATAGAGAGTTCCTGTATTGATGAAATCAATTACTTCAAGTTAGTTGACCTCTAACTAACTAACTAAGTTGAACTATAAAACCTGTTAGGCAGATAAAAATCTCATTAGCGTTAATGTGAACACAGTTTGCCTTTTCAAACTGCTTAGATCTTAAAAGCTGTGACTATTGAACTATGAAAATTGGAAAGCGTGCGGAGCATAGTAGTTTAAGAAAGTTGAAGTGTGGTTTTGTTCTTTTTTGTTTGTTTGTTTTTGTTTTATTTTGTTTTGCAGAGGGTATTAGTGTCTGTCACTGGCATCAGTTTTCATAAATCCATCTCATATTGTCACTATAGAGATAAAGTTTACCTGAGACAAGATTCTCTTCTGTTCACAGCATGGATGTCTTAGACTTTGGCTTGCCTGGGCTGCATTAAGTACAGAGAAATTGTCTTGGGCTGCATATAAATAATTTGCTCTGAAAGCAATGCCTACAGTATTGTTTATTTATAAGTAACAAAAATTTTAATTTTTAATTTTTTTCTTAAAACATTAAAAAAGCAGTGGAACAAAATAATAAAACTGATGAGATGTGTGACCCTTATTGTGATTGTTGGATCAGTCTGGTTTGATGACAGTGGTTGCAATTCTTAGTGAGCTCACAAGGTGTTCATCAGAGATTTTTGATTAAATTTTGCTCTTCTGGTAATAATTCAGTAATCATTCACAATTGTTCACAAATATGTGCACTGCCAAAAAGTGATGATATGAGGTATGAAGGTATGGTTGTGAAGTGAAGGATATTCCTCTTATAAAAGAAAGTGTATAAAAGTCTGGCAAAGAGATGTGATCAGATTTTTTAGTTGAATATCTGATTGCAACTCTGTGCATTCAATCTGAAAATTTGCAGGCGGGGTGTTTATATCAGCTGAAAATTATGTTGCAAACATAAATCAATTTTTTTTTTTTTTCAATCTTGAAACCTATTTTCAAATTCCTATATTGAACTGGAAAGCACACCTGCATATTACTGTCCGTTCAGAGCACCGTGTTCATTCGGTGTGTCAAAATATATGCGGTTATTTGCTATCACTTGAGTCAACACTACGCTCCTTATGCCTTGCTTTCAGCCTGCACAGTGTTAACAGCGCACTGATGGTTTGGTTGTTGCTGAGGACTGGGTGCTTGCCCGGGGCCACTGTGGTGAAGAGTTGCTGCCTTTATAGTGTACGGGGTAGTTTTTGCTGCCATTATAGAGATGTGTCCTTCCTATTGGCATTGCTATTCCACCTTCTTCCTAAGATAATCAGATAAACAATATGCAAAGCACTTAGATGAAATTTTAAGACGTTGTTACTCATAAGAATTAAAAAGGTTTTCAAAATTTTTTTACTTAAGCCTATATTTTCCAGATCCAGAGATATTTTAGAAGCAACTATTAGTAGAAATCTTAGTATCAAGATTTTTTTTCAAAAAACACCTCAACTATGTTTTTAGTGCTGTTGGGACTTTAACTTATCTGTGATGGTTTTGAGAATGTAATATATTTACTGCCATGTTATGTATTTACTTCACATAGATAGATATCTATTGCATGGGACTTGAAGTCAGAAATATTAAACACGTTCAAGGAGAAAAAGAAAAAATCATGTAATCTGTGTAAGTTAGTGTAATTTTGTAAAATTATTTAGGTTAGATACCGTGAAAAATCTTGGAATAATCTAGGTGGAGGTACAGTAGACTCTTCTGAAGCTTCTGAGGGATTTGTCTTCAGTGTATTCTGTCTTCTCAGTACAAATGGTTGAAAGTAAATGAACTGAGCCTTGCATTCTTCTAATTTTAGAAGAGGAGACATGAAACATTTAAACAGCAGAATTATAATATTCTTCATTTCTTGATACAGTCATTTTCATTGATAAAGAAGAAAATAATTCATTATACTGGCTTTGATCGAAAAAAGCAAGCAAATGCTGCGTTTCTCATAGGCTCCTACGCAGTAAGTATTAAAATTTTTACTATTGCATAAGAAGTTAAATGTGTTCATTCTTTTATACTCACTTTTTAAAACAGCGAGATAAAAACACTTGTTTTCTCTTGGATAATATTGTTACTAATGTATCTTACAGTAAGGTGCCGCCTTCAATTAGAATTTTTGAAGTCCAGCAGGTGTATGGATGGATTTGTTTTGTTTTGTTTTTCTTACAATACGATCTGTGCTCCTATAAGGAAAAGAAAGCAAAAAGTCACCTCTGAAAACAAATTTTGAGTTTCGTTATTTGTCATAGCATTTTGAATTTCAGAAAATGTACGCATCTTTTCATTTAGAAAAAAAAGACTGATTTTTTTTTTTCCTTTTTTCCACAAATACTGTCTTGGACAAAGTACAGTATATCAATTCCTTTTGCAAAAACACTTAAATATGTCTTTTCTTCCCACTTTCTTCTTTTTTACCATGAGATGATCCTTTTGGTTAACCTATTAGAAGGCATAAGACTGTGTAGTAGAGCCAGTATAAAAGACTGGGAATGTAGCAAGTGGCTGCAGATGTGCTGAGTCAGGTCCTTGGCTGCAAAAATGGGAAAACATTGCTGGCTTTCCATTGCAGCAACATCTGAAGGAATCAGTATTTGCTGCACGAAACTGTTGCTGAGGAATAAAGCACAAACAGCTTGATTATGAAATATGTGATGAACTTTGTTCTGTTCTGTTTTGATTTGTAATATGGCTTGATTGTAACACTCTCTCTCTCTTGTTCATTTGCTTTTGAGACAAAGTGGTGAATGTGTTCTTGATGTTGAAAATTTGAAGGATCAGAGCTCATCTAGCCTTAGGTCATTCTGGTTTACCAGCTCTGCAGGTATACGGTATTAACCATGCTGACAGTCTTCTTCTTGCTTCTTCCCTACTTCATTGCAAGTCCTATTTTGTTGCTTCCCAGGTTTTCTTTATTATCTGTTTTCTACAGTAATCATTATGAATAAAGAACTTAACTTGAAAGTCTGCCACTTCTGCAATCTGAAAAACAGGAGCCTTACAGATGTTACTGCTGCTCTTTGTATTCTTAAGAAACTGGCAACGTGAGTTACTGAACTTGTTTGCTGTTAAGATGTTACACTAGGTAAAGAGCTAGGAAAGCTTCTTCCAATTTTAGGAAAACTTCTTCTAATTGCATTACAGGTCTAGAAAGCATGAGTGGAATGATTTCATCTATCAGCTGTCAGCTGGAAGGTTTTTGTTTTTTCCTAAAATTTCATTCTGAATATGTGTGATATGTGCATCCCAGCACTTGACATTTTGAGCAGAATCTGCTATATAGAAAATTTATTGACTATTAAAAAGTTTACAAAAAAAAAAATCAAAACAGTCCTAACAAGTATCTTGTGTGAGATCGTCATCCATGAGTCTTGCCATGTCACATTAACAGTGTGCAGTCAGAAGGAATCCTTTCCTTGCGGGTAGGTAGGCTTGTTGTTTGGATAATTATGAATCAGAGATGGTGAGGTAACTCTAGCTGGATCCTGTGTCACTTTTTCTGTAAGTGAGATATAATGTCTACCCAGATTGGTGTGGGAGGGATTCCCATGAAGGAAGATCACAAACCGTGCCCCTGAGGCTTACTTTTTTGCCCTGGTACACTTTGATGATCTTTCATGAAGAGGCAGGCTTAATTGCAGCAAACAGTGCTGAAGTGTTCAGACATACATATTCCATGTTCTTGCTTTCTGTGAAGCATGCAATGGCTTAAGATCTGCACAGAATGTCTAATGAATGTATGTGCATAAGCGTAATTCCTGACTGGGAGGAAGCATATTAAGGTCATATTTATTTTAAACATAGGCTTAAGCATCCAGCTACTACTTCAATTCAGAGTGCATAGCTTTTTGACGAAGAAGGATATATACCATGTGGTAATGCTGAATTGGATCATTTTATTTCTTATCCCATATTGTAGAAGTGATAGATTGATAGATAGATTGCCATTCCATATTTTGTCTTCTATGGTTTGAATATTTTTTCAAGTTCAATCTCTCTTTTTTTTTAAAAAAAAAAAAAAAAAAAAAAAAAAGCTTAATGGTGGGTTCCGCTTCAGCTGATCTCCTTAGATCAAGGAGCTGTGTGGCCTTGCATCATACTGAGGGAGTCTGGGTGGGAAGAGCAAGGAAATAGAATGGGGAAATAGTGAGCACATAGTGAGTCATGAAAACTGTGTGTGTTATAAGGCCTTTGATGGCCTATGCATAGTTTTGGATAGAAGTTCTTCAGGAATTCCTACTTGTTTGGAATAACAGTCTGACAGCACTTAAGAAAAGCACAGGTGAAGTAAGTTTGTTTCTCTTTTATACTTTTTTTTTTTTTTTTAAACACATAAGTGCATTAAAGCTATAATGAACTGTATGTAGCTGTGTCTACTTGCATGTCTTCATAAGCTTTCAGTATTTTTATACTAGCAACTTGAAAGTCTGTCTTTTAAAGGCTCATCAACCTGAAGTTAGAATTCTTAAACAGAGTTATTTAACTTCTGTTTATAGGAATTGCAGTATGTTGGCATGATTTACCATTCAGCATCTTTTGTTTAAATACGTATGTATGTGTGTATTAACTGTGCAGATATGTGCTCATTTTGACAAATATTGCAATGACAAAGATCTTCATTAACTGTGGTGAAGTGAAAGGGCAGTTGTTAGTGTTCCAGTTCACAAGCAAAGTCTGTTCCCAGTCTCTTCCTCATAGTTGGTGTTTTATAATGTTCCCACATCTCCCATCTTCATCTAACTTGTCTTTCTTTCCTTTAGTGGAGATAGTTTCTGAAGGGGTCATCCAGACTACATGCTTATTTCTTTTCCCTCCTGTATCTGCTGCTTCTTTCCAGGTGTACTTCGATGTGACAGCACAGCCTAACTCCAGCTACAGGGCTCTTCAATGTAACAAGGACAGACGAAGAACAGAGTTTCCAGTACACTGTTATATATGTAGCTTCTAGGATATTTTAGTGCAAATATTAACAGTTTAGATCTTAGTTCACCTTAGTTCATATTGTTCATCTTTCATCTATGTAGGTCACTCTAAAAGTAATGCCTCCTGTTTCTTTCTGTGGAAACTACAACAGATTGAAAGAGCACAACACTATTTGATAGCACAAATTCTCAGCTACAAAACGTATTTTTTCAATATAGTTGCCTATACAGTCCAACTTCCATTGTCCCAAACAGATGGAAATCAGAAGGTGCCAAATCAGGACCATCCACTGAGTATATGTTAGGGCAGTCTAGTCAAGACTAGCAGTGTGCTCCATGGTCTTCATACCAATATGGGCCTAGCATGATTGTGTCTTCTTCTGTGGAATTTTGAGCCTTCAGCTTAGTGTCTCAGAGTTACTGGTTTGTCCAGGTTCCAGGAAATCCAGAAGGATGGCCTCTTCCTATCCCAAAGGATAGTGCACATCACTTTGTCTGCTGAGGACTTCATCTTGAACCTTTTCTTGAGTGGGAAATTCATTCCCTGGAAAGCTACTGCATTACTGTATGGGCTGCTGTTTTCACTGTAGCTTGCAGTGGGGATACTATTTCTTGTCACCAGTAATGATGCCAGTCCTGGAAACTGTCACTTTCAGTCTCGTATTGGTTAAATAGGTCCTGAGAGACTTGCATACGGTATTATTGTTTCTGTTCCTGTGTCAGCATTCGTGGGAACCACCTGGTCCAAACTTGGCAGTATTTCAACTCTGTCACCATTATTTCCAGTGTATTGAAGCTAATATTCAGCTCCTTACACAGTTCCTTGGTTGTAACCTGCTGATTTGCATGGATGAACCAAGCAAAATGCTCTTCATTTCCTGGTGTCACAGCTGTGCATGGCTGTCTAGACTGTGGCTGTTGCCACTGCTGGGACATACCACCTACCACCTCTGTGTGCTCACATCCACTGTTTGGTCTCCTTAAACATTCAGCAAGTGTCAGTGAATGTCAGTGGGTATTACTTTTTTCTCCCTGGAGGAATTCAGTGACACCCCTTTGCTTCATATGCATTTCTGTGTCAGATGCCATTTTGCCAGACTTGCCTCTGCTGCCTGGTGACAAAATGTAATGGAAAATTGGTGAAAGCTTCAGCCTCTACTGCCATACCACCATCTGCCTCCAACATTGTGGGCCAACATAATCCAATTGGAGGCATTACTTTTGGAGTAGCCCTCATATTTTTGTATTTTGTTTAATTTTTATGTATGATATGTTGCATAATGGGAATAATATTCCATGTATACATTCAGCCACACAAAGCATAGCCACATTTGGTTAGTTGGAGTTGAATGGCCATAAATTATTTGGGGTGGATAGGATGAGGGGAAAGATGGGAGGGGGAAAAAACATTTGTTCTTCACCTTCTAAAGAAAAACTGCTTTTCCTTGTAAGCTGTCTGCGCTGTTCAGGCCTTACCACTCTACCAAAGCAGCAGTGATCTTCTGAGTTGATATCTACAGTGGCTTCTCTTGATTTTCACCAGGACTTGGCTGTGGGTGAGGAAAGTCTGCTTCTTCCACCATTGCCCCTTCTATATTAAGAAAGAAAATGTACTACTCTGTGCACTGATCACCCAATTCCCCCCTGTCCCCTTAACTGCATTAACTTAGTAACAGTCTTTCTTTTCTCAGGCCTGGCACTAATTATGTACTTGGAGGGCGACCCTCTGGGGGTACTGCCCCATGAACTGCTGTAATTCAGGTCACCTTCTCCAGGACTCATCTCTGTGCTTTGTCTATTTTCTGATCTTCTTTCTTCAGGGTAAGCAGTGTTTCCTTCATCCATTCTGATCCATAGTACTGTTTTTGCCTTTCCGGTTTGATGGTGGTCTTCCTAACTGTGGGCCTAACATGGGGTAAGAAATGGAAGTTGTAGAAGCAGTTAACACCAGCCTACATAATGTTGAGGTGTTGTGCTTTTACTGTGAAACTTGAAAAATTATCTCTGGCTAAGACATGGAAAAGGAGGTAAATCTGTTTAGTGGTCCCAGCTGAGTGGTAGTAAATGGGTAACAAATACAGTGCTCAAATTAGAGGTGGGTAAACTGTGTTCACTCTCAGCTACATTTTGGTGAAGAAAGCTTATGTTTGTCAATTGAAAGGCAGAGAGAAGATGAACAAAGAAGTACTGGTATTTCAGACAAGCAAAAGTTGCCTCAAGTCTTTTTCTGTGTTCAAGATCTCTAAAAACTTACCTCATCTGAATAATATTTTGGAAATCATGGTGAGTTTTTGTAATAACAGTTTTTCTTGATTTTTCTAGTAGGTTCTTCCTTACTGTGTTCTTTCCAGACTGCATTTCTGCATAGTGTTGCTCTCGGGGGATTCATTGCTATAGTAGTATTGGCTTACTTTCTTAGCTGGTGTGAAGTACTGATGTTTCCAGCTAGAAGGGCTTTATGTGCCCCTCTCAGCCTGTTTTAAAAATGATTGGAGGTTTCTATCTACTTGACAGCTGTGTTTATGCTAATAAAAGGGTAGTGGGCTACATGGGCATTTTTTTAGTACAGTACACCTTCATACAGGAGTATTCTAATGTATTTATGTTTTAATTTGTGTGTAACCTTTTCTTCTATGAAATATTGCTACGAAGTTTAATGTATTAACTGTCTAGTATGTTCAGTTTAGGTTTTAATAACATATTTGATACTTTTATAGTAAAATTATGCATGTGTGCCAGCTTTCGGTTATGTTCGGTCACACAGCAGTAACAATGTTTGTTCTGAATCGGGTGATTTGTATTTATTTGTAGTTTACAGTGGTTCAGATTGTATTAAGTGAGTGATGTTTTATGTGACATTGTATCACATAAAATACACTTGTAAGGAGTTGAATTTGAATCTTATCATTGTTGTCTTCCTTTTTAAGTCAGTGGGGTAAAATGTGTGGTCAGGGCAGCAAACTTAAGTAGGTATTTATCTTAAGGGCTGATCAGGAGGATAAAGTTGGTTATTAAGCACATCATGAACATAATTTAAAGGGCTGTTTGCAGACTTGAGTTAATAGGATTTCTAACAGTGTAGCTTATTTAAACAGCTTTATTTTCCCTAAAAAGCAACAAAGTATATCAGGTATCTTTATTACCAGATGTGTTCTGCTTTGGGTGCACTATTACTCTTTTGCATGGTAACTCATGTTTAGAATACCAAAACTTGGTGTTCTGGGGATTAAGAAGCCTCTTTTCTACTGGCAGTACTTTTCATCCTAATGTGAATAGTGTTTCTATAGGTGCAACACTGATCTAGAAGACCTGTTTAAAATAGAACTGGTTTGAAAATAGTAGTATAAATCAGATAAGAGTTCTCACAGTAATCGAATCTTGTGTGTTCAGTAGCCTAGTCCTACGAGCTTTTTCATTTCATTGAACGAACATTCTAATGGCTGTTGGACTACATAGCAGAATTGGCAGGAGCAGTGCTTGAGAGTATGCAATGCTTGGATGGTTTTTGACCGTTCACAGAGCTACAACCAGTCCTTTAATTAGAAACAGATGTCCTAAATGAAAAGGATGATTAGAGCAATGTTAATGGTTCAAGCTTAATGGCAAATTTCTGGCTGTATTTTGAGGTTCTGTAGGATTTAATTTTTTGTGTGCATAAGAAAATGAATTTCTAAAGAAGTAGTACATAAATGATTACGAATTAAAAAACGTTATTGTGAAAGATGTCAGTTCTTTATTATAATAATTTTCTTGAATATATTTAAGAAGAGGATTTGTAAAGGCTTTAAGTCTTTGTGTGTGCGTGTATGTAGGCATGTATGTACATGCGTCTGCACTTTCATGAGATTGTAGGAAAATGTTAAAACCAATGCAACTGTACTTTTGCATGCTTTCTTTCTGGTCTTCACCAAGCATAATTTTCAAGTTTCTTTTAAAAAGCTGCTTTTTTTGAATGTTTGGCCTAAACAAGAGAGCCCCTTGAGATATGATTGTAAACTTTGAATAAGCTTTTCTCTGTTTGTATGTACAATAATACATGAAAGTATCCAGAAAACATTAGTTTCTAGTATACAACAGGTAATTTAATTGTTTAAAATTTATACTCACACATCTTTCTCTTGAATATGGTGGTTGCTTTATAGGCATTAGCTTCAAAAAACAGCTTTGTATATGAAAATTTCTGTAATCCTGCAGAAATGTATGTAGCCAAGTTTAGATCCAGCATGTAGTCAAACTGGTTTTAAGTTTTGTATATTTCTAGACGCATGTCTTTTCCCATTTCATGTCCTCCCCCTTGTACACACTTCGTCAGTTTACAAACGTATCAGTAAATATCTTTGTTCTCATATTTGTCGGTTCAACATTCACATTTTCATCTTTTTCTGAAACTTCAGTTCTGCTAAGTGCCTTCTAAAACTCTTCTGACTTCAAAGAATCCTGTCTGCTCAAGGTCACTCTAATTACTTCTACTTCTTCTCTAATTCACTGCCTTTGACATAATTCCAGTTAAATAATTCGCCTTTAAGGTTTTAGTGACCTCCTCCCAGTCAGAAAAATTAGCTGTCACTGACCTTGAACTGTGAGGTATTTCTCAGTGTGTCTAGTAAAGTTTAGGTTTGTATAAGGAATGTGTGGTTTGAAGTGTATCCTTAAACCCTTGGTAAGTGCATTTTGGTTCACTTCATAGAGCAGTCTATGAGCAATCCCAACAGCTAATGAATGTCCAGTCCATAGGATCAGAGTAGGACTAGCATGAAGTTAAAACAAATAAATGAATAAAATTCCGGAAGTCTGCAGTACAAATGTCAGCACTTTGTTGCCAGCTGTCAGTCTACAGGTGCATTTATGCTAGTTCACGCACATCCTAACACAGATGTGGCTTCTGCTGCTTTGATGTCTGCTGCTTCCCTGTGCTTGGCAGCTCCATCTCTCACTTCTTTAGTCCTACCTATAGTCACTTTCTATGAAGACTGCTCCAAAATTAAGGTTTCCTGTTTGATTATGTTGGCTCACAGTGTCGGAGGTGAATGTTAATATTATGGCAGTAGAAGTTTAACTTTCCCACCATTTCATTACATTTCATTGCCATGTGACAGATGGCAGCAGAGGGGCAGTCTGACAGAATGGCATCTGATGTGGAAGTGCATGTGAAGCAAAGGGGTGTCATTGAATTTCCCCATGCTATAAAAATAGCACCTATTGACATTCATTGATACTTGTTGAACAAGAAGACCAAACAGTGGATGTGAGCACAGTGAGACAATGGGTGGTGTGTTTCAGTAATGACAATAAGTGATAGTACAGATATAGATTTCTGCAGGTGTGGAATGCAGTTCTTGTTCACTGCTGATGAAAATGCATCACTAATTGTAGTGACTGTGTTGAAAAAAGGAGTTCTGTAGATGAGAATTTGCTGTATCAAATTGTGTTATTGTGCTCTTTGGATCTGTTATAATTTCCATGGAAATAATAGAAAACATTTCAGAAGAGCCTACATATGTTTGGAACTTTGTCCACTAGCAACCTGAATCCAGTCAGAGATTCATCTTTGATCCGGACTTCCACACATCCAAGATTTCCTGCTGGGATTCTCTTGTGGTCTTAAACTGCCAGTAAAAATCTTGTTTCCGCTTCTGTTGTTCTTCTGCTTCTTGTGTTGTCTTACTGCTGGGATACTTTCCTTATGGATGAAGTTTCAATTTGTACTATTTCCCATTTACAGTAAAGATTGAATTACCATTCTTTGTTTTGAAATATGCCATTTTATTGCACCTGCCCAGATATCCTCCTACTAACCTGAAGTTTTTGTAAACTGCTTTTCACCAAGAATTTCATCCAGCAGTTTCATCCACTGTTGTCTCTGAAACTGTTCCACGCATCACATCTTACGTGTGCAATCACAGCCAGAATGTACCACAATCTGCTTTTGTTCCAGAAATTTTAGGAGATCTGACTCTATCAAAGGGCTTCCTTCAGTGAATGTACTATACATTGTTTCATATGCACACTAAAAAAACCCATCTCCTTGCAGTGTGTGTGTGTGTTTTTTTTTTTTCTGTATGTACTGAGTGATGGTAGATATTCTAGTACTCAGAATTTTTCATTAGAAGATCACATTGGCTTTCTTAAATGTGCTTGTATGTGGTGAATGTTCATGTAATTATGTCAAGGAATATCCATTTGGATGTGTTTCTTCACTAGTAATGTCATTTCAGAATTAAGAACTAACCTGTTTCAATATCATATGGTGTTATCTAGGCTTAATTTATTGTAACATATCGATTAGAGCAATAAAAACTTCCTTTTGCTGCTGTTACATTTGCAAACATGCTTTTGTGCTGAAGCCTGTATTATTCAAGAAGATGGTAAAAGCTTGACTGAAATGTGAGAGGAATCCTTTTCCTTTGTGAGCTACAGGTGCTTAAAGGATTAGCTAAATTTAGCTGCCTTTCTGTTTGCCTGTTGTACAAGTATTGCTCTGTATTATCCAGCCTGGCAGCACTGAATCACTGCTTTTTGCAGAGTGATGCATTTCTGGGTACAAACTGCTGTTTAATTACAGTTCTTTCTGTTAGTGCCATGTTATGTCTCTGGTTTATTAGTTTTTCTGGGGCAGCACTTTTTCTCTGATAAGCCAGCGGTGCTTTGTTCATACAGAAGCTGGAGCTCTGTATTCATTTTGCTCCAAGACATTAAATATGACTGTATCAAAACATACAACTTGGAATTCTTTTTAACATGATCATCGTATCTATTTCAGGCAGTGAATTATGTATAACGTATGCCTGCAGAATAGAAAGCAACTGAGGAGCAAGTCTTAAGTGATCTACCTACCTATCTAAATTTTTAAGTCTTTTTTTAATTCTAGGTATATGCTTGCAAGTTGAAATATAAATTTCACTTACACCACTTCAGTGAAAACACAGAAAAAATGCAGTTTTTGTTACTACAGTAGATTATTTAAACAAAACACTTGTATGGTTTTTTTTTTGTTTGTTTGTTTTTGTTTTCTTTCCTTTGGTTTTGCTAATTGCACAGGAAGAATGCCCAGAAAATACTTAGCATTATCTAATCAGAGGAGAAACAAGAGAGGTCACCTGTTGCCATTTGTATTTTAGCTGTCTGTTGAAGATATGTTTCAAGTTTTGTTTTGTTTTGTTTTGTTTTTCTTTTTTCTTTTTTTTTTCCAATATCGCTTCTACCTCCCATTCCGACTCTCAGGAATGCTTGTGTGTGTACATGTGTGTGTGTGTGTGTGTGTGTGTGTGTAGAAGATATTGCCAACACCAATTAGACCATTTGTTCAAACTGATTTTGCAGCAGCAAAAAGAATGAAATCTGTATGGCAATGCCAACTTTTTTTTTTTTTAAAAAAAGCCAAATAAGAGTGAAAATAATGTACGTTTTTGTGAGTAATTCAAATAATAAAGTCATAGGATATCCTTCCTGAATTGGAAAGAACCCATAAGGACCACTGAGTCCAGCCCATGGCTCATCCCAGCAGTACCCAAAATCTAAGTCCTGCATATGGGGCCGATGTCCAAACGCTCCTTGAACTCTAGCAGCCAGGGGCTGTGCCCACTGTCCTGGGCAGCCTGTTCCATGCAGATGCAGAACTGTTCCTAACTCCCAGCTGCCCTCCCCTCACACAGCTCCATGTTCCCTCGGGCCCTGTCTCTGTCACAGAGAGCAGAACTCAATGCTGCCCCTGCGCTCCCTGTGAGGAGCTGCAGCCGCCATCAGGCCTCCCCTCAGCCTGCCCAGCTCTGGGCTGAACGCACCCAGAGACCTCAGCTGGTTCCTTGTACCACTTGCCCTGAAACCCTTTGCCATCTTCATAGCCCTCCTCTGAACGTTCACTAATACTTTTGTGTGCTTCTTGTTCTGTGGCACCAGTGCTGAAGATGAGGCTGCGCAGCACAGAGCAGACAGCCCCTCCCCTTGCCAGCTGGCAGTACTGGGCCTGGTGCACCCCAGGTACATTTGGACCTTTAGGCTGCCAGGGCACATTGCTGCCTCATGTACAACTTGCCGTCAGGCGTAACCTTCAGGTGCTTTCATGTGAGGCTGCTCTCCAACTTCTCATTCCAGTCTGAACATACATCTAAGATTTTCTTATCCCAGCTGCAGAAGCCAGCGCCTGCTCTTCTTAAACTTCTTACAGCTGGTGATTGTCCAGCCCTCAGAGTTAGCAAAATCTCTCTGCAAGGTGCCCCTCTACCCTTGAGGGATTCAGCAGCTCCTTCCACTTCAATGTCATCTGCAAGCTTATTTGGAATATTTTCAAGTCCTGTGTCCTAGTCATAGATAACGTATTTAATTAGTACTCATGATGATTTCTACATAAAAGATAAACTGTAACAAAAAAGCTTACTTATATAGGAGGTGTAAATAAATTTATGGAACTTTAATGAAACAGTAACTTCCTGAAGTGTTTTAATGCTTAGTTAATGCAGTTCTAAATAAGAAGTATTAACATGAAATTATTGAACCTGATAATGACTGCTTTGTTATTAACAGTTGTTTTGTCCTGGAACCATAGAGGTTATTTCTTGATTACTGGAAGACATGATTTGCATAATGAAAGAGTTACGCAATATTTCCTAAGTAGGCCTTACTGTTAGAGGATATACAAGAGTGATCAGGTATTTCATGGGGGAAGGCCATCGATATTCATGTCATTAGGTGGTATTCATGATTTTTATCTTTTTTTTGAGAGGTTTTGACAGCTAAAAGTTTGATTTGCAGTGTTTAAAGTGTATTCATTCTATTCTTAGGACTTTGCTTCTGGAACTGTGGGTTATTACTTTTCCTTTATGACATCTGGATTTAATTACTGAACACTGCTTCACCAGTATGAAGGAGGAAGTCCAGGATTTAGAATAATGCAAATGTACTGCTATAGGAAAATCAGAACATTTACAAGTTATTATTTTAATCTTATCTTCTGAGCACATGTACTGTTTTGTAGAACAGATAATTCATATGTTTGCCAGTATCTTCACATTAGTCTAAAATAAATGAAATTTGACAAATCTATACATTTTGCTTAAGAATATATGTTCATGGTTTACGAATATTTTTTATTGTTTTGCTTGATTTTATTGTTGCATACTTGTATTCTTTTGCTCTTCACGACAGTCTTTCACAGTGTTTTTGAACTCTGTGATACGTATGTCTTCTGCAGTAAAGAAGTAACTTTAAGTTATTTCTGTGAATCTTAAGATAGTTTTTCCCTCTTTTTCCATAAAAACAGATAATATATCTGAAAGAATCACCAGAAGATGCATACAAGCTTGTTTTGGCTGGCAGTGTTTCGTATCTTCCTTTCAGGTAAATAGTAGTGTTATAACTTTCTGTAGCTTGATATTTTGAAGAAGAGTATAGCATTTAGCAATACTACTTTTTTTTCTGTTTCGCTTTGTTGTTCTGTTGTTGTTGTTGCTATGGTTTAAAAGGGCGCAGCTTGATTTTAAGTGCAAATTTAACAGGGGGCTTGGCATCTGGTTCTGAAGTGTATGCGAAAGGTGAAGAAGCCACACTGTATACTGTATACTCTTTGTTGAGTTTTTTGATCTACATTGCTTTCTACTTGACATTGGTCTTATGCTAGTAGTTGACAGTTAAAAGTCAAAATATCTTCCAGTAATCACACAAGACTTACAATACTTCTCACACTCATTTTTATTTCACTTAGCAAATGTGTGAAGTAAACTAAAAATACTGTTTTGTGCCTAAAGAATACGACCTAACCTCTTGTGATTTAGCATAACTTTGAAGTATTTATTTTTACCAATGAGGAAATATATAAAAGCACTGGTTTGTCATTGCTTGACCCTGAGGGAATATAATCCTAGCCTTTTCTTTGTGGTGTATGCCGTACAGCTTAATTTACCAAATAAGGTTGATCCACCATGTGTAGAAAAAACTTCATAAATTCTTCAAAGAAGTGTTCCTAAAAGTTGGATCAAACTAACATTCCATTGGCTGCCTCAGTATGCAGAAAAGAATGGCCAAAAAACCTTTTAGAATGCAAGTTTGCTATCTGGTTGCTGATGATTAATTCAGTCCTTGCTTGTTTGTGTTTTCTAGCTCCTGTCCAAGAGCTGGGCTTTTGATGATTTGAATTTCCTTTACTTCTTCATAGTAAAAGTGTGTAGTAGTACCTGTCTTTACTTTCATGCTTCCATCATTCCATTTCTCTTTTTAATTCCTTTTTGGATATTCCCAGAAATAAAAAGGCCTATTTAAAGACCTCTGTGTTTCTAAAAATTCTAAAGATGTATGTGGATAGCTAAGATAGCAGTTGTTCACTCAGATCACACACCATGCCCAAATCCTCAGATGATCACTTTGACAGCTCTACTGAAAAAAAATGCAAATATATTTTATATAACAAGAATTACTGATAGCTGGCTTCTGAAAACGTGTTTAGTCTCCAGTATAATACATACAACATGCTGAACTATCTGGGAATTTTTCTATTTTCTTGAATTCAGCAGAACTTGGTATTGAATTCAGATTGCTCTCTCATCTTCATCTCTGCAAAAAGCTTTGCCTTTCGGAAGAATAACAGAAAGGTAGTTGATACTTCTGGTCATTACCAACAGGAAAACTTGTTAACAGCATGCGGAGAATGCTTTCCACTTACTTGAACTGTGTTCTGTTATCACTGTCTCCTGCAGATTTTTTTTTTCACCTTCACACTCATTAGGAAGAAAAGAATAGAAATAATGTGTAGAGGCAGATGTTCAGGTTCTTCAGAACTTCTTCCTCCTTTTAGTTTGAGTTTGAAGATGGTCTGTTTTTTACTTTAATGTAGCAGTAATGATTCCCTGTATTCTGATAAGAGCTGCAGGTTTTCAAAAGTAGCTCTTCTGACAAGATAAAATATCATCTGATATTGATTGTTTATTTTTTACCTGACTGAAGTATTCCTGTAGAATGCTTATATGACTGTGCTTAGGGAGTCTAGTAATGGTTATATACCAAGAACATGACTATTTTTGCATCAAGAAGATTTAGGAAAAAAGTAGATGAAAGTTTTGATGAGAACCAATTTCTCAAGTTTAAGCATTAACTATTCTGTGCATCTTATAAATCTTTTAGCATATCCATACAAATGTGTATCTTGACAGGTTTTTCAAGAAGATACTGTTCACATATATTAAAAAATGCATTTGTGAAGTGTCTTTTTTCTTTAAATGGAATTTGAAGAAGAAAATTGCAGTGTATTACAGTTTGATGTTTTTGAAAGTGAACTTCAGATAGAAATGTTTTAAGATTGTATGTTACAGTGTGATTATTCTTTATGCATCAGTTTTTGCCATAGGGAGTTTCTGTTATTTTTCATGTATTTCTGTTCTTTGTTGACATGTACATTGAGCATGTTACATTTAACAAAAGGTATAACTAGAGTATTTTCTGTGTTGTTACTATGAGATACAAGGGTGGAAATTAAGTAATTGTTCAACAATATTTTGCAATACTAGAAATTCTATTTATCATTTAATGTTGCTTTATAGAGAAATATAGAGAAATAGAGATTTAAATGGGAAAACTTAACTGTTTTGATCATCTTGTACTACAGGGATGCTTCATTTGGTACTTGCAGTTTTCATCTAACTTTGCTGGATTGTTTTCATGCAATAAACAAGGTAAGTTAAACAGTATTTTTTTTAGTGTGAAACATCAGCTAATTACTGCCCAGCAAAAAAAGAAGCCTTTGAAAGCTAGTAGCTAATTAGTCTGTTACAGCTACAATTACAGCAAATTTTCTGATTGTTACCAGCTTATTATGTATTATGCATTGTAACAAAACTGGGTGGAACATCCCTAGGAGTGAACTTATGCCATGCATAGTCAACTAGAAAAGTTTCTAAAGGGGAAATGTTGACTTCTGTTTAATTAATCTTTTCAAGACAGTCGTTTGTATCTCTGATCCCTAAGAGCTGCTTAACAGTTTTATCAGATGACCCACTTTTGCCTTTGAATTTTGCTTTTGAATTGCTTATTGGTGCTTTTTGGGCATTTTCAGTATGTAATTGTAACTTGAAGTTTTGCTTCAGTATTATAAATGCAACAATGTTACAAGCTGATTTTTTTTTAATCACAAATTATTACAACCTACTGTCTTACAGCAGTACAGTGGTGACTAATGTGTCATTTTAGAGCAAGGAGAACTTGAATGCATTCTTTTTCATCTGTATGAAAATTGAAGAGGCATATATGAATATTCTGTGGCTCTCCATTCCATTACTGTTTGTTTTTTTTCATTGTGAGTGTCTCTGCCAAATACTGTTGTTTCTATTGCATAAGCCAACTTCTTGTAGTTTTGAGATTTTTCATGTGTTTTTCTGTGTTCCAAAATTGGCTGCTCCTTTGCCAAGAGCAGTGAATTGCTATTCTTTTCAATACTGGTGAACAGCAAGGAAAACCACAATGGGCTATGCAATATGAGAAGAGATTTGAATTTAATATTCAAAATATGTGATGTTATGAGATTGTCTGCATTTGCTCTTTCTGACTTAATAAGTGATAAACTGCTAGTTACCAGAAAGTTTACATTTTTTATACTGTATTAAATATAATGGCTATAGATAATAAGGAGCATCGAGGACCACACTGATTTCTCTTTAGAACTGTAGGCTTAGTATACCTGCAGCCAGTTCTTAATTAGTGAAGATATAAGAATCTTAATAGAATAGGATCCTTACACAAAAATATTTATGTTTGAATACAGATTTCAGAATATACCCATAATTTAAATAGGTAATGTTTGCCGGTTATTTTTCTCTTTGGCATATCTTAATACTAGCAGTAATAAAAAGACAGTACACTTATAAAATATGAATTTGGTGAAAACAGAAAGACTTCCTCATGTAACCTCACTTCTATTATAATTTACAAATCGGTTTTTCCTTTTTTGTACCAAGACTCAACTGTTGTGTATTTTTTCAAATGAATTAAGAAATTCCTCTGAAAGGATAGAGCAAGTAGTAAGAGGCATTCAGTAACCTGAAAGAGAAATTAACTGTCCTCACTGAAAATATGCTATTTTTGTTAAAAGTTGTATTCTGGATTTTAGGCTTTGCAGTATGGTTTTCTGGATTTTGATGAATTTGATGTAAATGAATATGAGCATTATGAGGTACGTGTATCAATCTTCTGATTAGTTTGCTATTAATGCCATTATGATTGTTTATAATATGTGCTATTTGTCTGTAGTATTATGTTCCATTTCTTTTTTACCTCTTTCAACTGTGATTACTAAATATAGGTGAGTGATCAGAGAGAGTATTCAGAGTCAGATTTAAGCGTAGTCAGCCTCAAACATAGTGGAGAAAAGCAGAAAACAGCACTGAAATACTTTTTTCCCCATGTTTTTATTAAAGTCTTAGATCACCTTAAGGAAGGTGATCAGGGAGCAGGAATTTGTTCCTTGGCAATCTTTAAAAAGTGTAGCATATTTTTGAGCAGTTACAGTGGGCAGCTTGAGGGCAGACAGGTCCAAGTCTTAACTGATTTCTGAAAACCAATTGAAGTGTGCATTTGTTAACACAAAGCAAAATTATAATACCATTCTTTAAACTAAAGAAGAAGAAACTTAAAGCCTCCAAGAAGTTTGAGGTGTAGGAAATTAATATGAAGTTAAAGGACTACAGTGTCTGAATATATAAAGTCTCAGAAATGCAACACTGCTAGTTATCAGTAAAGAGAAAATTAGGTATTCTTAGAATCTAAAAAATCATGATTTAAATAATGAAAAAGAGGAAGATCATAGTTTAGAAACCTATAAAAATGTTAGAATTGGAAATTGTTCTTCATCTGAAGCTTACCAACGGCATTGTTCTAAAACTGTAATTTAGAAAAGGGAAAATACAAGCAAGATGAGTGAGATTAAAAACAAGTGACAGCCTCCTGATGAAGCAAAAAGCAGGTCACTAACACTTTCTTTGACAAAAATTTTACATCACGTCTATCTAGCATGTATTTTGAAACAATAAGGAAAAGCCTGAAAATACAGGGATAATGATAAACCAAGCATTTTCTCTTGACAGAGAGCAGAAAATGGAGATTTTAACTGGATAATACCAAACAAATTCATTGCCTTCAGTGGACCTCATTCAAGAAGTAAAATTGAAAATGGTATGCTTAAAAAAGGAGGTGGGGGACACAAGCCCACTGCTTACTTAGTTGGTTGCTACCAGTAAGAAAAAGCTTTAAAAATTGTTCCTCAAATAGTGTGTTTTTTCCTTGGCTCTGTTTCTTTTATAAGAACCCTGGTAGTAAAATTGTAATGCTTGGTTTAATTGCATCTGATCTAGGTGATTATTTTAAAATTCCATTTTCAGTTACACTATTTCTTTATGTTTGTCATAAGTTTTATTTTGAAAGTGTTTTCTTCTGTTGGTTTTCAGTCTTCATTTATTTTACAGTTTGAGTCTCATTCTTCTTCCTCTCCCCCACTTTCTTTTTTTTCAAATAGGCTATCCCCATCTTGCTCCAGAAGCTTATTTCCCATATTTCAGGAAACATAAGGTCACCACTATAATACGCCTCAACAAAAAAATGTATGATGCCAGACGTTTTACGGATGCTGGATTTGAGCATTTTGACCTCTTCTTTGCTGATGGAAGCATACCTAATGATACCATCGTTAAAGCATTTCTAAGTATTTGTGAAAATGCTGAAGGTGTTGTAGCCGTTCATTGCAAAGGTACAGTTACAAACAATTTATATTTCAAGTTATAGTTCCTAGGATATTTCTCACCTTAAGGTCCCTTTTACAGCCCCATTTCAATTCCGTAATTCCTTTACATCTAGTTACTGACAACTTTGCTAAGCAACAGCTTTCCTGCGCACATTCTTTATGTGCTTTTGTTTTGCTCTTTGTCTTCTAGTTTTTTAAGTTCCATAGTAGTCTTTCCAAATATTTCAAGAATGAGATTGCTGGATGCAAGCTTGCCATTATTAGCATCTCTTTCTACTAGAAAGCGTTAGCGCTTTCAGAAGGTTCTTTTGATTTGGAATTTGCAATACTGGCAAGGTTTATAGGTATTTCTGAAAACGTGAATAAATACACCCAAGTTATAAATTTTTAAAAATATCAGTAGAGCTTTTTGAGAAAAGTAATCATGAAGTATTGGAGTGTTCCTACAGAACCATAACTATTTTCATCCCTCGGAAACCCTCTATACTAGCTGTGCTGGGTATCTCTGAATGCCTGTTACTTGGCAATGTAACTCAAAAGGAATGGCTGTTGAGAACATGCCCAGCATAGCTTGAATGTAGCTTGCTGAGGCATAAAGATTTCTGCAGTTCCAGAGCAACTGTTTTCCCTTTCACACCAGATAATGATTGGACGAGAAAAGTATTTTCTTAAACATTTGCTTGGGACCTTCAGAGGCTTCATTTTTTTTTTTTCTCTGGATTTTCACTTGCTATATGTTTAATAGGATTATACTGTAGACATGACCAGAACAGCTTCTTGACTGTACACTTACATTCTCTACCAGGATGTGAAATCCAGGCATGTCATTTAATTGATTATATTTAAAGTGGTACAAATGCTTTGTGTTCCTTCAAAATAAGATGTCTCTGATATTTATCATGCTGATGATGTCAAGACTACCTTACAGTCCTCAGCCTCCTATAACTCTTGAGAAACAGTGGAATGCTCTAGCCTGTTCTTACAGCTGGACAAAGCACAGAAAGTGCTGTGTGGTTGTCTTGTCTGTTGGACTATACTGAAGGTTTTTACACAGATGTTCAGTAGATTATTAAATGAAAGAATGTGATTTGACATTTATAGAAAGTGATCAAGCAGGCCACAAAGCTGGCTATCTTCTTTTCCTTTTCAAATTTATCAAGGTAAATGGTTCCATTTCTAGGGCCTTTAGGAAAGTTTTCTAGAGTAGTCCTCATAGTGGCAAGTATACAAACTTCCTTATTGCAAAATTTAGCTTTTCCTTGGGAATAAAAAAAAGAGAGCAACTGATGTTACTGCAATTTGTGATCAGTTTGTACTTAAAGTGCTTTGTGAATTGTCTGAAAAGGCAGCTCTTGTATAGCTACATTAAAAACTTGTGATGCCTGTTTGTGTATACATCCTGTATGCTTTTATATGTGTGCATGTAAATATGTAGTTGCAGATATTAAAAACACTTAAACAATCTGTTATTAACTATATATATGAGGGAAAAAAATGAAAAGGTAGGTTGCACTTAGAGAGTTTTACCAGCAACAATTTTATCTAATAAAACAGACACTTAACTTTTTGTCTGAGTCACAGTGTCTGTAGCTGCAGCAGCTTTCAGATGAAAACAAGCATATAAAAAACCCCATCTTTTTATCTTACACAGCTGGTCTTGGGCGAACTGGCACACTTATTGCCTGTTATATTATGAAGCATTATCGAATGACAGCTGCTGAAACTATTGCCTGGATTAGGATAAACAGACCAGGTTCAGTGATCGGACCACAACAGCATTTCCTAATGAAGTAAGTAGAAGGACTTACTAATTTTGAAAATAGATTCGTAACTTTATGTTCTCTTTTTATTCTATCCTTAAATTTTGTGTTGTTAATTTGTTGGTTTTTGGGTTATTTTTCTGTACTGTGATAGGAAACAGCCAGAACTTTGGAGAGAAGGAGATCTTTTCCATCAAAAGTTGAGACGGAACTGTAAAATGGGTGTAACAAGAATCGTGTCAGGAGTAGGTCATATTTCAATTAATGGTATTAGAAACAGGAGGACAATCCAAAACGACACTGAACTGGTAACCATCTGAATATCTTGCTTTTGTGAAAATTGCAAATGCTGTTGAGGATTTCTTAGATTCTAAACAAACATGTGGGTACAATAAAGCTGTGATATTAGATTCCTTTTTCTCTTTTCCTTTTTCCTATCAAGAGGTTTGGGGATAAAAATGCTATGGACAGGAATTATGATTTTAAAAACGAAGTGCAGTACATCAGTGAGGTAGGAGAATTATCATCGTAGTTGATCCTTGCAGTTAGATAAATATTAGAACAAACAATATTAGAGCTTAAAATTTGCAGACAAAAATTCTGTAAGTGTTTTTTGGATTGCCAGTTAAATTATTGTATTACTTTCTGTGTTTTGAGGGGAGGAATGAAAAGTTTTTCACTATATTTAGCTTTGAAAAATTACAGCTTCTGTACAACTTTTTGAAGCTGTCTGCTTTCTTTAAGAGGTGGATAATTGCTGGAAATGGCAAGTGAGTATTGTCTTGTACCTGAACAGTGGTTTGAGATGTGTTTCCAATGTTTGAACATTTTGATGCATGCAAATCACGTGACATCACAGGAAATTTATTTATTTAAGTGAATTTCTTTCATTTTTATGCTGGCAGCCTTTCTTTTGGGGATAATTCTAAATTTATGATTTAAAGTAAAGTTAATTCTTTCTAAATGTGTACTTTTAAACTTTGGCTTTTTCCATCTTATCCAGTACAGTGATGAAGATGAAACAGACAGTATAACGCAAGGTGATAAGCTTCGTGCTTTGAAAAGTAAAAGGCAGGCAAAATCTACAACTGCATCTCCACAAAAGTAAGTCAGTTTATGAATGCATAAATACCAGAAATGCTTTTATTCTGTTCTTCATGCATTTTTACCTTAGCGCTTATAAATTTGTTGGCAGGACTGATTTTGCTCATTTAAAACAAGCGTGAGATTCACCTTTTTCCTAAAAGTTCTGCTGAAGGCATTAAGGAAGCAGGAGAACTTGGTTGAAGACCTGCATTATTCACTTTCTTTCTCTTTGTGTTAATCTTTGATTCCAGTGCTCTGTGCTCTGGAAATTCCTGTAGTACTTATGAATGCCGTATGCTAGTAATTTCTTCTTCCTTTCTGTGGCAGCATAGCAGTGGAAGAATATGACTGATTGGTGGTGTTTGATTGCTTGAAATATGGTGTGTTCATAGTTTTCAGTAGGGCCAGCTGCTTAAGAATAGTTGAAAGAAAAATCTTTAGCTTTGTTTTATTTCCTTCTCCTTGGAGGACATGCCCTAAATCCTATGGACTTTGGGATAATGGTTGACATTCAGGAAGGCAGGTAGTAGTAGTATTTCAATAAATAAATTCTAAGGAGGCCTGTTCTATTTTGGAACTTGGTATGTTAGTCTCCTTATTTAAAACAAGCATGAAACACCACCTGTAAAATAAAGTTTGTAGGCAACTGCTGCTTGCATCTGTTGTAGAAGGAAAAAATTTTGTCTGTCCATACATAAACTGCAAGGGAATGCAAGATGTGAAAGATATATCCAATATCTCATTTGTTTGCTAGGAAAGAAAGGGCGGTAGATTTTTGCAAATATTACACTACTGGAATTACAGACCAAAGGCAACTTGGCTTTTTTTATGCTATACTTCTGAAGGAATCATAAGGCATAATTCATAGCTAATTATGGGCCATCAAACTTTTAGGAAAGTGAGAAGTACATAGTAAGAATATGCTAAAGTTACAAGAGTATCTTTGGATAGCCTCACACATTGCTGTGTAAGAATTTGACTTTTGTTTTAATTAAAAGAATCTCTGTTGTTCACAGTCATCGTTTACACAGACAATCATGTAATCAACAATATATGAAGAGCAAAGCCTGTACCAACTGAAATTTTTTTAAAAAGTAGAAAAATCAGACAATACAAAAAAACCCACAAAAAACAACAAAAAAAAACCAACCCACCTCGAATAGTAAGCCCATACTCGAATAGTAAAGTAAAAAATAGCTACCTTGCACATTATTTTCTGAGGCATGTGTTGCCTTCATTTGTACTTCCTAGTATTTTTTTCACATGTAGTACTTTAAGTATATAATAAAGTTTGTGAAAAGTCTCAGTTACAGCATGTTCTTTAGAATGAATGTTGACTGGGTAATTTATGTTTTGATAGTTTTGCATATTGGCACAGGGAGGTGGTTTACTAACAAGGAATTGGAATTTCCTTTCTACTGTTTCTTGCAGGAAATGATTTTATGGTTTGTACTGAGACTGAGTACAGCTTGTACTGAGATAATGTGATGACAGTGTTACTGTTACTAAACCAAAATACCAGTAGGAATGTTTAGCTGCCTTACCAGGATTAGTTATCATACCTAAACAGCTCTTAGCCTTTTTCTGTTTTAGTTCAGAATCTTAAAAAGTAGTTAATTCTGTTGAGAAATTGATTTTGTATGAGCAAACAAAAAGAAATTTCTAAATCCTCTATGTAGTTTTATTTCAGAGAGAAAACAAAAGAACTACTACAACAAAAAACACAAGCAAAATAAGAGCACCAGAATTCAAGAGGATTACAGTCTTTTGAGGGCTAGGAGCATTACTTTGAGTCACAAGGGGTTTCTGTAGTAGCATTTTGAAGATGATTGTATGACCGTTATGTGATTTTGTGAATGGATGCTTTGTGTATGTTCCAATAAACAATGTGGTATACCTTTGGCAAAGAGAATATCAATTAGCTTTGGCAGTTTTGAATGCAGGAATTAATGCAGCCTTGCTGTTTTGAGTGTTCACATAAATAGTTGCTAGAAAGTGATCTGGCTCAGGGCGAGTATTTTTGTATCAAAACATATGGTTGTGAAGTAAGATCTATTGGTACAGGCTGTTCAAACTGCATAAGAGATGGCTACAAATGGTCTAGAGTGCATTTATTTTTGAAATATTGACAACAACTTTCTTTGGGAGAGATTACTTCAGTGAGGATTTCAAGAAATTTTGTTCTGCTTCCTGTAACACATAGATACATTTGACAAGTTACAGTTACATGGGTTCATATGGAAAGTAAGAAAATGCTTGACTAAGATTATGGAGCAGTATGCTTTATAAAGAAACAAGCTAAAATGCAGCAATAGCTTTTGCTTTCGAATTTTTGTTCATCTTTTCCTCCCCCTCCAACCCCTTTTTTAGATGGCTCCTAGCTATGCTGGTGTCTACACTGTGTAGCATTGTCATCTGGTGGATTGTATGTGGCTCCCTTCTTCCCAGCCTGCTATTCTGTCTAGATGGTTTAAGAAAATAGTAACCATCAGGACCCCCTGAGAGAGAGCCACTGTGTAAGTGTCCCATTCCATTTCTCTTTAATAACTCATGCTTTCTGTCTGGTGTGTCTCATAAATGCATGTTTTCACATCATGTTCCTTACTGACTTTGTTGCAAGAGTATTTTTCACTGCTCTCGCTTGTTGTATTTTTGTATATATTATTTGAAATAACGGAGTGATTTTATGGCTGGCTTGCAATACAGAAGGTGCAGAGCTTTTATATTTAGGGTAATTTATAATTTTGAAGCCTTTCTTCTTTGCGTGCTCCTGCAAATAAGTAAAACTATATTTGTAAAAAGGAAAAAAAACCCCAAACTGGTTTATAATGTAATCCTCTCCTTTGCATATTGCAAGTGAAGATGTTAGCTCCACTTTTACTTCAAAATTTATAAACTTGCAAAGGCGCTTAATTTCCTAAATGATGGTAGTATTATTCATGTGAAATACCAGGAATTAGAATTAGTTAGAAGTGGCAGTAGGTTTTTGGTTTTGTTTTTTTTAAAACATTATAGCATTATGCAGTAAGAGACAGTAAAATTTTACTTTTTTTTTGACCTTACAACAGAAGATGAGACAGATTGCAATATTAGGTCAAAGCTCATTTGTTTACTCAAACAAGCTGTTTTCATCTTTTGTTCTTAGGTATTTTTATAGAGCATTATAGGAATATTTTAATACTTCTGTTACTTAAATTCAGAAGTTAAATCATTAAAAATACATTCATTACTTGTGTACAATTTTTACTCTTTTCTCCACTTTTGTCAGACTGGTTGGAGCCATTTTTTACTTGGTGCAATATCTTCATCAATGGCAACTTTCATCTTTTGGCCAAATAAAATTTAAGCAGCACACAGAACTTTCAGGAAACCCATAACAGCTTCTTTCTGTTTGCTTCTCTGTCTCCATGACGCTGCTCTACCACTACTACTACCTCCACTATGTTTACTTCATGTGAATGCTTGAAAATTCAGTGCTTATAGTGAAAGATCAGGAGCCTTGCAGCCACAGTTATAAAAAGCACAGAAATAATTTTGCTGGTAAAGGAGTCGGTCTGAAAACAAAAACTGGGGGAATGGTCAACTACTTTGTTACTCCGCTAGCCTTAGCTGAGGTCATTTTAATCTAGTCTTCTGCAGAAATAAATAAATAAATAAATAAATAAACCCTAAGATCAAATTATCCTCTTTTTTTTTCTTCCCTTTGGTACCTAACTTTGCCAGAGAACACACTGAAATGAGACTTGTTTTGAAAACTTTGCTCTCAGTGTAGCATTAGTTCTCGTCTCAGCATTTTACAGGAGTTTTACAGAAACTCAGATTTCTAAAGGCAAACTGAAAGAATAAATTTTGAACACCATTTCAAAGAAAAGAAGCAATACATTCTTTGTTTTCTTTTACTGTAAGATCAGTTTCACTAAACTGTCTTTCTTGTAACATTTCCATGTTCTATGTAAAAACTCCTTAGCTGAGGGGTAAGAGAACAGACTTAGTCTGTTTGACTAACATCAACAGTTTGATGTTAGTAAAGGTGTTATTATGCTAACAATTGAGGTGCCACTGCCTCATACTCAGAATTGACAATCATAGGGTGTTGTTTTATGTCTCAGAATTGAAAAGACTTAAATTTTCATTAAATGTTCTTTCCATTTTGCAGCTAGTGTCTCTTGGGTTTAAGAGACCAAATTATCAGCCAGATGATTCAGTCATCACTCTTAGCTAGTCTGGCAGTTCTGTTGACTGTTTACCTATAGACTGAAGAGCTAATTATCTATGACTTACAGGAGGGTTATATATCTTATGCCAGCCTTCCTGAAAAGAAGGTGGCGAGAAAGCAGTGTTTTATTTGACTGTGTAATGGTTTAACCCAGCAACCAGCTTAACACTACCCAGCTGCCGACTCACTCACCCCTAGCAGCACTAGGACAAGAGAATGGAAAAGGTAAAAAAAAGTGCAAGAACTTGTGGGTTGAAATAAGGACAATTTTGTAGATAAAGCAAAAGCTTTGTGTGAAGGCAAGACACAACATATTCATAGGCTGTGTCCCATCAGCAGACCAGGCATTCAGCCGCTTCCAGAACAGCAGAGCTCATTGCACATAGCTGTTAGTGGGGAAGGCAAAAACCTCCACACCATGTGTCCTAGTTACTCCTTTGAACCAGTTTTACAGTTGAGCGTGATATGATAGGTTATGGGAAACTTCTTTTGCCTGTTTGGGTCAGCTGCCCTCCCAGCTCCTTATACTCTTCCATCTCCTCTTGCTGTCAGGAGAGTGTGAAGAGATGAAGTGTTCTTTGCTCTGTGCAACACTGCTCAGCAACAACTAAAGTATCAGTGTGTTATCAGCATTATTTTCCTCCTATATCCATAACACAGCACATTACTAGCTACTGTGAACAAAATTAACTCTTATCCCAGACACAGTCAGGACCTCATAAAGTAGATAATCTTGGTAAAACTCCCATCAGGAGGTCAGAGAAGATATGCTCCTGTGTAGCCTCTCTTCACTTTCTCCCTCCTTAGGATACCTTAGGATTATAGGATACTTAGGATTATATTTTATAAAAGCTTTTTGTGAGCACTGATTTCTCTCAAGTTTTCTGGTGATTGGCCTGGGTTTGGGGGTTGGGCTTTTATGCATGTTGTTATGATGTGGTCCCCTCCTTCAATTTAAATAATAAATTATGAAATATTTAGAAGTTGGTGCTACTGACCCAACACTATTACACTAAAGCAGGTTTTGATTTGTTTGAAGGCCAGTATATTAGCTTAAAGAGAAGTGGTGTGCCAACTAGTGTCATGCTGGAGGATGTATTAGGCTCAGAAGTAGCAAATGATGCTAATGGGCATGAAAAATTCATAGCATACATCTTTTAATAGCATGGCTATTAAACCGTCTTGTAGCATATCTTCATGATTTTTCTTTTTTTAAAATTGTATTTCATTGAGATGAAGAATATTTTGTACATCAGAAGAATATTTTGTACACCAGATCTTCTGGTATTTCTGTAAGTTAGTTGCTCAGCTGTACATCATGACATGCTATTATTCACAAATAGTTACCAAGCAGTAAATAGGTGCCCTGAGAATCATTTCATGTTCTTTATGAGACATATCTATGAGACCAGTTCTCAAGTGAGGCTGCCAGTCTAATCACCTATTAAATCAAAATTCTATACATTAAAGGTAATGCAGCTCCTAAGCTGAAAGCTGGGAGTGCTTAGTAATGCCGTGTCAGACAGTGGTACAAATGGGAATTTGTCTGTTTTCCTTGAGATGCTCTAAGCCTTCAAAGACTAAAGTTTTAGTCCAATTCTAACCTGTTTGATCATTTAGCAAATGCTTTGTTAATAGGGATTCCAACTGAGCTTTACTCTCTTGGGCTAGCTGTGTGATGTTTTATATCACTTTGATGTGTAAGTGACATAACTTTTGTGCTTAAAGCTGGCTCTCAGCTGATCCTGTAGGATCACTCCTCTCCCCACCCTTTGTTAAATATAGTAGTTTCATGAGGAGGATGCCATAGTTGGCTTGGTCTTTAAGTTGAGTCATATATAGTGCATATTTTTGTAAGTCATAGTCCCAGTTTTTCTTTCTTGCAAACACATAAAATTACATGGAATGTAAGGACTTACTTATGATATGTCAAAAAGATAGCATTTAAGTGCTCATGAAATATTACTACGTTATTGCTTCACAGCATTTTAGTTCATACTGAGATGAGCATATAGGTTTAAGTCATATACAATGGCTTCTTTTCTGAGGTTTTGGTGTCTGGAAAAAAAAGGACACTATATGAAAGAGGTAATAATTAGATAATGTTCCAACAACTTTTGCTTTCTTTTAAATACATGTTACATGCATTCTATACTAAGAGGTGCATGCACAGATTTAAAGAGAAAACACGTTTTTTACGTATGTCTGTCTGCATAAGAAGTTATTAACCAGCGTGTGCCATGATTGAGTTGTACTTGAAGTGATGAAGAGTCAGGAGGCTACGCAGGTTTTTTACCTGTTAATTCAGTCCTGGAAATCACTGGTGGCACAGGTGAAGGATGTAATGCTGACTTCTTTTCATTGTTGGCATCATTTGTAAATTTTAGTTCAAAGTGGTTCATGTTGTATAACGACTACACTGAAAAGAGAATGGTAACTTTTAATATTAGAACTTACTAGAGTTGCCTTAACATAGCAATGGAAATTATAAAGTGAAATTCAATGTTTTGAACCTTATCACCTTAAACATGCAAGAAAGACAGATTTTTGGTAGAAGAACTTGTGTTGTCTGTTGCAGCATGGTATAATTTTGAAGGTACTTGTGTTTTATTTTCAGCTTCTCGTATAACTGCTTCCTCTGACTTGAAATGTGTAGTGTTTACAGTGGAATTTGCATTGCATTTTAATAGTCCTTGCTGCTGCAGTACTGCAGGTTTGGACTTCTGCAAATCAAGGTTCTTGATTTTGCAAGTTTGAGTTTTGTTCATACAAAAATTTAAAATACATGGACGTTGTGTTAATTTAATCATTTGCCAAACAATATAGAAGCAGTAACTTTGGATACAACAAGTTGGTTGGTAATTTTTACTGCTGTAAAATGGAGAAATATACTACAGAATTGATTTTAGTTGAAATTATGTCCTTTCAAGTACATTTGTTTATTCCAGTTCTAGTATCAAGCCCCATATAAAACAGTAAATATACAGGGTTTTTTTTTTTTCTATTCATATTTTCAGTAATTGCTTTTGACAGGTGAGTATGTTGTGTGAGTACAAAAATGCTCATATATATATTCTCCTATGAATGCCTGTCCACTTTTGCTCCAGAATCTATGTTTTATGTTTATGTATAGGATTCTTAGAAAGCAGGGATTTTTTCGGAATATTAAACAACCATGCAGCAGTTTATTTAATATAATGAAACTTTGAGAATCTAATGCAGTCTACCAATAGAGATGAACTCAGCGAAGCCACTGAGAACTGAAATGCTAATAAGCTGCAGAGGAAAAAAAGGATGTAT